AGAAGATCGGAATTTAGTGGCCTACCTCCTCGGTGTCAGGAGGAACGTAGTTGACAAATTCCTCCTCGACGGATTCACGAAGATGCTGAAAAAGAAATCACAAGTGGTCGTCAAATTTGGGACCTGCTGTATGCATACTTTTTTTGTAAAACGTTGGAATCCACCCCTCCCTCCGCATGTTTTGTATTATATCGTAAGTTTTGCGTTTGGTCTGTGCAAAACTTGTAACTCACTAGACGCAAGGGCTTTGAATTATGGGTTCATTGGCAACAAAATAGGAGGCAAAATGTGAAATTGTAGAAGTCTTGCGTTAGGAAGGGCACTTTACTGAAAAGTGACGTTAAAAATAATTTTAGAAGGTCAGGACTACTGATACAAGTCGACTTTACGAGCTGCAATATCTTTGCTTAGTTGACTAAGTGATGATGAGAAAGGCTGACAGGCCACTTATGGTACCTTGCCTGTTCCCCTATTGACTCACATTCATGAATTCTGGTCCAGGGTCCGAAAAAGATAAACGCAATTGATGAAAAGCCGCAGCTAATCAACCGGATAAGGGGTTAGCGCAGTAACATCGCACTTTGGAAACCTTAACACCTCTCGGGAAGCCAAAGTGAACAGAAGCCGATCCTGCCAAGAGAACGACTGTCAACCTGAAGAAGGATGCACTGTCGGGTGACTACCGAGGTCAAAAAGACCTTGTTTTCAGCATGTCATTACTGCCAGCCGAAGTCAACATGGTCGGCGTTTTGATGTAATATCACCTAGTTTGTCCTAATCCAGTTCTGAGAAAAGTAAACCCAGCACGAGAAGTGTGCGCATAAGGAGATACATAAATTGCTGCAGAGTTGAAGGATTGTTATGGTGGTTGGTTAACCGCGAGCCAATGGAGATTTTCAAAGATTTCAGGAGTGGTCTTTAACCTGCAGTCATAATGATATCCCCTCTACGTAAATCGTTTGAACAAGCGGCCTTAGAAATTTCTTAAGGACCAGTAGGACAAACTGACTCGTTTTCACCTGAGAAGCAGGGATTCCTTGCATTTTAATGTTTTGTGCAATGT